CGGGGAGGAGTTGAAGGAGGAAGAAGAAGAAGAAGAGGAGGAGGGCTTCCGTCCGAAGCCCCTTTTGCCCGATGTGGTACTCGACTTTCGGCTCAAAGGAGAAGTGTGCTCGAGCCCATGTTGGGGTGGGTGCCACGTTGTAAGCTTCTGGCCACTGCGGCGCGCCATCTGTCCGAAAGCATGGATATGTGTCCGCGCGCCATCTGTCCTCCTCCTCCTCCTCCTCCTCCTCCTCCTCATTCTCTCCTCCTCCTTCTTCTTCCTCCTCATTCTCTCCTCCTCCTCATTCTCTCCTCCTCCTTCTCCTCCTCCTCCTCCTCCTCTTCCTCCTCTGACGACTGCGCAGCTGCCACGTCAGCATGCACAGTTTTTTCTTCCTCCTCTTCCTCCTCCTCCTCCTCCTCCTCCTCCTCCTCCTCCTCCTCCTCATTCTCTCCTCCTCCTCATTCTCTCCTCCTCCTCATTCTCTCCTCCTCCTCCGCCTTGTACTCGTCCTCCTCCTCCCCCTCCATCTTTCTCGTCCTCCTCTTCCTCCTCCTCCTCCTCCACCTCGGCATCTTGTTCTTCCCCCTGCTCTTTTTTCTTCTTCTTCGTCCTCCTTCTCGTCCTTTCTTCTTCCCCCCCCTCCTCCCCCGCCCTATCTGCGTCCTGTTCCTCCCCTTCGTCCTCTTTTTTATTTTATTTTTTTCATTTTTTTTTTTGAACTTTGTCTTATTCTTCTTGTCCCCCGTTTCGCTGACGTGGCATGTCGTGGTCTTCTTGTTCTGTCGTTCTGCTGGAGCAGAACTGGAACGTCGTCTTCCCGGCACGTGGCAAGCAGCACCGGGGAGTGTAGCTGAACAGTCGGCATCCTTCCGCATCGCACCTGCCTCGTCAGCAGCTACCACATCAGGACTGGCCATCGCAGCATCTGCCACATCAGCATCCGGTCGAGGTTTGTCGCTTCCACGTCGGCAGCGCTATGGCCAGCAACAACGCTGATGGGGCTGGGAGAGCGGATGTGGGGCGGGACCCCTTCCGGGAGGAAATCAACCACCGGCGGGATCACGTGGTGTGGACGTGGGTGACTGCTGGTCAGTTGCTTCCAGGGAACTCTCGTGGATCAAGGAGGCTGCGTTGCAAGCTGTGCAACAAGGAATTCACAGGGACACAGAAACGGGCGATGGAGCACTTTTGTTTGAAGAGGGCCTCCGCCCGGTGTCCAAATGCAACGATGGCGATTTGGAGGAGGTTGCACAAGGTTGGTTTTGAGATGCCGCCAGATCTTATGGAGAGGGTGCAGCGCGCAATAGAGGAGACTGCTAGCGATGACGATGATGGTCCTGTGTTGGAGGACGACGCGGTGGGGCAAGGGGGAGGGGTTGCGATGGATGGGGAGGCAGGGGAGGCGGCTCATGGGGAGGCTGGCAGCGGGGTGGATGAGGTGACAAGAGGGGTTGTGGCCGATGGAGAAAATCCGGTCCGGAGACCTGCATTGTCGCAGATTGCCCGCAGACGGTGGGCGGCTAGACAGACGAGCATCGTCAGGTACGCGAAGAACCCCAGACAGGCGGACATCGATGATACCTGCTGCGAGTTCTTCGTCGAGAACGCCATCCCGTTCAACGCCGCGAAAAGCAAGAGCTTCAAGAAGTTCCAGCTGGCGTGTTATGGGCCGCAACCTGCGGCGAGCTGCCCTCTTGTGCCCACTAGGTACAACCCACTACGATGCAGGCTGCTTGATCGGTTGCCCGGGAGGTTGGAGGCTGAGGAGAAGGCGGTCTGGGACAACTGGGAGGTGACAAGCTGCACGTTCATAACCGATGGCACCACAGATATCTGTGGGCGATCGCTTATGAACTACATCCTCGTCGGGCGGTCGAAACCCGTTTTCATCAAATGCGAGGATGTGAGCGAGGGGGAGAAGGATGCAGCTGTCGTCGTCGCTGGGTGGAAGAGGTTCTTCAGGGAGTGGGGAGTAGAGAAGGTGACTGCGATCTGCACAGACTCCTTCGCAGGGAACAAGAGCGCTGCCCGGATGTTGAGGGAGGATCCTGAATTCGCGCAAATCTACTGGATCCCTTGCACGACACACTGCATGGACCTGCTCATGCACGACATCTGCAAGGAGGAGTGGCCGGCGACCATCATCGAGAAGGCCAACTTGAACAAGGTGGTCACCTTCTTCAGAGTGCACAGGTGGCCACGATCGCAGCTGCGGACGCAGTTGTTGCAGTACCCTGACCTTAAATGCACCTGCCTACTTCGCCCAGCTCAGACGAGGTTTGGGACAAACTACGTGATGCTGCAGCGACTGGAGGTCTGTGCCAGGGCCATCATACGCATCGTGAATGGACTCGCCTGGGAGAGGATGGTGTGGAGGGGGGATATCAGGGGGAAGGTGTTATTTGTGGAGGAGACTGTTCTTGACAGAGCCTTCTGGGCTGATGTCAAGAAGTTGACCACCCTCATGAAGGGCCCTTATGAAGTCCTACGAGAGGTGGACAAGGATGTCCACTGCTTGTCTCGGATCTACGACCTGGCCCGTCAATTGCCTGTCTTCGTCCGTTCGGCCCGCCTCGGTGACAAGGAGCAAGATGATGTCTTGGTGGACGTGAAGAATAAGACAGATATGCTGCTCCGCCCGATCCACGTCGTGGCCCGGTTGCTGGATCCAGTGTTGAGGGACATTGTTGTTTTCAGCAATGTCGAGCTCATGACGGAGTTTGAGGCTGTTGTGGAGCGCCTCATCGGCAAGAGAGGGAGCAAGACGTTTGACGACTGCCTGGACCAACTGTATGAGTTCCAGATGGCCAGAGGAGTGTTCGGCACCACACGGGCGGTGCAGAGGGCGAAGAAGGACAATGCGGTGCTGTGGTGGGAGGCGCACGGGGCTGGCCATCCAGAGATCAAGGCTCTGGCGGTGAAGGTGTTTTCCATTTGGACGACATCCTCTCCAGCAGAGAGGAATTGGAGCACTTGGTCTCTTGTGTAGACGAAGTCCAGGAACAAGTTGCACCACCAGCGCACCGAGAAGTTGGTGTACTCACACTAGGAGGATGGTTGGGGCGAGCAACAGACTGGGCTGACGATGATTTGGAGGGTGATCAGGCAGGTTTGATTGACGTTGTCGACGACGGTGAGCTCGATCATGAGGCTGCTCCATCCGGTGCAGGTAGCACCACCATTCGCCATGATCCTGCTGCGGCCGGTACATCAGCAGGCATGCCGAGGCGAGGAGAGGTGGAGGAGGGTATGGAGTGGGATGACATGGAGGAGGAGAAGGACGATGACGATGTGGACAGCGAGGACGAGATTCCACATGACGAGTGGGTGGACGATCGGTCAGACTCTGACAGATCGTGGACGAGGAGGGAGGAAATCACACCATATGTTYCGGGCACACGACATGGATTGAGGTCCCAGAGTCAGCGGCAGCAGGTGCAGCAACATGAGGAGCAGCCTGTGGAGCACCATGAGCAGGCTGTTGTGGAGCAGCAGCAGCAGCAGGCTGACGAGGAGCAGCAGCAGCAGCAGGTTGACAAGGCTGAAGAGGAGCAGCAGGCTGACGAGGAGCAGCAGGCTG